ATTTAATTTCTCACACAACTTCACTCCATGGGCCCCGTTTAGAGCTAGTCCGATGAACCTTGAAGTCCGTGACAAATTTCAAATCCAAATGAATTCTCAATGTCCGTAAGATTAATTGACTTTTAATTCAATCTCTTCATTTTATGAATTAACTATTTAATTGGTTTTTTTTTTTTTGGGTAAAATAAGGGGGTAAAAAAAAATCTCAAACAAAATTAAAAAATAACATTCAAACTCACAAAACGAGCCTTGGAGATCCCTAAGTATTATCCATCAACACATCCTAATCAACATAGAAGGATTATGAAAAATGCTGACTCCCAAATCCATGTTGTAGCTCCACCTATCTAAATGATCAGCAACAGAAAATCGTTTCAACTGAGATTGAGTCAATTCAAATTGCCTAATTAAATTGAAGTGCAGTAAAATTAAAAGTAACATTGATTATAAGAAAGAATTGTAAGGATTGAGTTCTTGAATTAAAAACAATGAACAATAACAAGACAAATAAAAATAAAGGAATAGAGATGCAACAAAATAGAAACAAATTATAAACGAGAAGAGTGAGTCACTAGGATTTCATCATAACCAATCCAACCTATTTCAAGTAGTAAATTATTAATGAATAATCATTTAAAATAACCGTCTAGTTCCTCTAATTCATATAGTATCCATGGTATCTGAATTCAAATTCAACATGGCAAGTACTTAAATTTGCATAAGATAAACTTGACTAAACCAATTTTGTAGCTAATCAACAAGATCAAAATGAAGCGTATAATCAAGACAAAGGAAACAATACGAATGACAATCCAGATATAACAAAAATTAAGTAATCATGGTTAGGTTATATTGCAGCTCAAGTGAAAAAAAAATTAATTCCGAAACATAATCGAAATTGTCATTAAATCTATAATAAAATTAAAAAAACTAAGTCAAGAGAAAGCCTAATTCTTTTTTGCTCTCCTGCACCTCTGTTCGTCAAACTTGTCGTCTCGTGAATAATGATCAGTTGTCCTCTTCTTTTCCCTCTTATGTTTCCATTTTCTTCTCTGTAATCGAGAAAGGCTTAAAGCCCATTTATTGATAACATTAGAAGAGAAGAAACGGAACAAGTCTTCAATTATTTGTCGCCACTTTGTACATTAAACATACCTCGATTAATTTCTATTTGACAATGTCTTCTATTGTGTCTTTGATGAAGAAGTTGGGGTTCCATCATAAATCAATTGACAATATGAAAAGTTGCTCAACTACTTATGAACAAGGTTTTAAAAGACGCTAGGTGATAATTAAACGGCAGGCTGGGGCCTAGCGTCTAGGCGGCTAGACGGAGCCTTGACGGATTAAAGTAATATATCATATAAATTAATTAAATTTACTATATAATATATATATAAACATTGATACTGTGTTTTTTTTTTTTAAATAAAGAATCCATATAGGTATATATGTAAAATACAAGTTGTTCTAGGGTTGTATCATTTTCTAAGCCCATATTGTTGGGCCTCTTAATAAATTAAAAGGTTGGCCCTGCATTTTGTTTTCACCGACTCAGTTGCTTCAAACAAATCTAATAAATGCTAGCTAAAGCAAAAAGGCTACTAATTGCTTAAAACCCTAATTAAAGCCAGCCACACCTCTCTGCAATTACAAACTCATCTTCTACAACCTGCCGCTGCACCCATCTTTGCAATTGCAGACTTACCTTCTACAACCCGTCGCCATCACCCATCTCTGCAATTACACAAATCTCATCTACCACTCTCTCTTTCTCAAACCATAGTCGACTCCGCTTCTAGCAAACTAAGAGGCAAACGGCGAGATTCGGGGAGACAAGAAGGTTGTGAGTCTCACAGCAGAAGGTTTTTTTCTAGGCCGCTCATATTGCCTAGTGTTTGCCAAGCCCACCTAGCCCACCCAAGCAGCCACCTTACACCGCTTAATGTCCTTGCCGATTTAATGAATGATTTCGGGTTAGTCGCAGCGAAGCATCGCCGCCTAGTGCCTAGGTGGCCATCTTGACCACTTTTTCATTCTCATGGAGCACGTTCTCATCAATGTGTGATTCATTCTCAACATGCCCCATCATGTGTGGCGTATTTTCAAGTCTAACACGTGAACAATACAACACCAGCAACATGGAGCATGTATGGCTATTGGGCAACGTGGAGCATTTGTGGCTACTAGGCAACGTGGAGCACGTGTGGTTATTGGGCAATATGGAGCACGTGTGGCTATTAAGTAACATGGAGCACGTGTCAGGACTTTACACATGGACAACATGCTTTGATATCATGAGGAAGTTTGGTCTACTTACTGCTGATTACCTCAATGTTGCCTTCTTTAATTTATCTCCTCCCTTCTCCTTCTCTCTCTCTCTGCTTGATTTCCTTTCATTCTTCTTTTCCCATGCAAATTAACTATCATTTGCATGCATGCCGTCTCTAGCTAGCAGTGGATCTCTCATCTATATAATTTGCCTGTGTTTTGTTGTACCTACAAAGCCTCCTATTCAGAAGGCGGCAATGTACTAGAATCCGATTGGGTGGTGCGCGTGGCAAAGAAGATAATAAGGGATTGCATGCAATAAACCTCCTGCTTCTAAGTTAAGTATTGCATGTAGCCTTAGTTTGTCATCAACTATAGAGTGCGGATAAAGCACCAAGGACCATCATACAACGCCACCTTAACCTAAAACTAGATAGGAAGCTATGGGCATATGAAGATATCTAATAACATGAAACTATGTTTGGTCCTATCCTATGGAACAAAGTATCACCAGCTGGTGCAAACAATACAAACCTAAGCTCTTACAATACATGTACATCTATACATGTAATAAAATAAAATAAAAAAAATCAAAATAGCTCTTGTGAAATAATAATACTAAATATATATTTTCAGAATACGAAATCTCACACTTACAATAAAATTGTTATATAATATCCGATATTGCAAAGTTTTGCTTTTTAGGGCACAACCTTAATAGCCATCACTATAACCACCCTCATCACCACCGCTGCAACCACAACCACCACCACTATCTCCACATCATCACCTCCGTCACCATGGCTTACCACAACCTTCACCAACTTCCCCATCATCAGCATCCCCACCTCTAAATCAATGATTCGAACCATTTATCTTTTAAATCTTCCCTCAATTATTATGTCTACTAAATCATCTAAATTTGAAACTATATGACCGTTGAGTTAAGGGTTTAGGGTTTCTTTGGAGAACTGTATTCGTCTATTTCCTTCACCACAAATGAATGTCTTAATGTTTCTGGATTGGTCTAATTTTTTGCAAAGATGATCTATGAATGATGTTCTAAAAGATAAATAGTTCAAATCGTTAAAATACATTACGGAGGGAGAAAAAACATGTTTCAAAGTTGTGTAAAAAAATGGTGCCATGAATCTCCCCTATTATAAAAATGTAATATTATATTTGTCATTTGAGACACTTTATCCTTTTTTGGTTTTACAGAACAGTTTTCCAAAGTTGTTTGTAGAATGTTAGGCCATCTCTAACCAACCCCGCCAAAGGGCCATAGGCCAAAAAATTCCAACCGAAGGCTAGGCCAAAGGGCTCGTGGGCCCCACCCGGCCAAAAATTGGAGAATCGGCCAGCAAGGTTGCCAAGAGTAGCCAACCAGCTAGCCCTATAGCCGAGCCTAAACACATGCTACTTGACGTCATGCTGACATCAGGTTACTGTTGGATTTGACTTTTCTTTTTATACGAAATTTTTAAAAACAAAAACCAATTTTTTTTCCCTATAAATACCTAAACCATTTCTACCTCATTTCTCACATTCTTTTCACCATTTCATACTATCTTATCTTATTTTATTTCAATTATTCACCAATTTTCACATCCTTTTCATTATATAAAGATAAGAAATCTTGTGGCTTATTAATTTAGAGACAAGTGGTACTTAAAATATGTTTGAAAACCTTATTTTAATATGGTAGTTTAATTCAATTAATCATTAATTCAATTAAAATAATAAATTATTGAGAGGGCTAAAAAATAGCCCCTTTTGGTTGGAAATGGGTTTTTTGTCAAACAGACTATGTTTTGGTCTATGACACTTTGGCCTCCTGGATTGAAGATGATATAAAATATGATCTAGCACGGTTTATTAAAAATTAATTCTTCCAAAGCTAAACATGGCCCTTTGTCTCTCTTTCGGTAAGAGATGGCCCTACGAGGCAGCCCATTTGTTTTCAGAGTGCTTTTTCTGTTACACCTTTGGCAGCCTCCTTGCTCTGCTCGACCTTTCAGAGCAAGGTTGTCTCGCGTTGCTCGGGATCATGACTGCCTGGATTTTGCGGTTGATGGCCTCAGAGTTCTTTCGTAAAATAGAGCTCGTCATAAGCATCTGGAACTCCTCGAGACTTGGTAGAGTTAACTCTGATCAGCTTGCCAGGATAGGGGGTCGACCCCATCGTACTATCTGGCTCAATAGCTCTGTGGTACAATGTTCAACGAGCCTTGGTAGTCTTCAACGAGCAACGCGTTCTACATTTGGTTATCTGCCTCATGCACTGGCTTAAACTGTGCAGATATGTTGTTTGTTAAAATATCTCAATGAAATTCAAAGCAGATTATATATGTCTTCATAGTTTTTAAGATTGGAAAACAGTTGCCCTAGTTCCGTACCAAGCAAATTTTTTAGTATAGAATTTGTATATGAAAACTTGTTCATCATTTCAACTCCTACTTTGCAAGTGTGATATAACCTTCTTTTTGCTTTTACTACGCAGTTTTCTCTACAAGAAGCAAAAGAAAACGAAAAAGATTTGCATACTGCTCTGTTTTTCTCCAAGCGTAGTTTGGATCACGAGCTAAGGTATGATCTATTGTTTCATTCTTTAATTTCATCTGCTTTAAAAATAAAGGATTCCTTTCTCGTATCTTGAATTTTATTTTTTGGATTCGTATATATTCAATAGATCGAAAACGCAAACGAATTGGTAAGCTAAAGGTGCCATGGCGATGGATATACTCACTGCAATTATTCCTACAATAATTGACTACACAATAAGTCCAGTTGCACGCCAAGTGGGTTATATCATTTTCTACAAAAGCAACCTTGAAGATCTGAGGACTAAACTGGAGAATTTTGATCTTATCAAACAAAGGATAAAGCATGAAGTTGATGAAGTCGAAAGAAAAGTTAATCAAGAAGTGGAAGCTGATGTCCAGAAATGGCAGTCAGATGCGGAGCAGACCACTCTGGAGGCAAAAGCACTCTTGCATGATGAAGGCCCTGCAAAGACAAAGTGTCTCATTTTATGTCCTAATCTGATATACTATCATCGGTGTAGCAGGAAGTCAACAAAAATGATGGAAAAGATTGAAGCACATGAAACTAAAAAAAAAGAGTTTTCCAGTGTTTCTTACAAAGCTCCCGTAGAAGACATATCTGCCCTAGCCTCGGACAAGTACATGGCCCTTGAATCAAGGATTTCAATGGTGAAGGATATCATTATGGAACTGAAAAAACCTGATATCAACAGGATTGGGGTGTACGGATTAGGGGGCGTCGGGAAGACAACACTTGCCAAAGAGGTTTACAGAGAAGTTGTCAAAGAGAAGTTATTTGATGATGTGGTTATAATACTAAATGTCAAAGAAAAAGAGGACAATGAAAAAATTCAAAAAGAAATTACTGAAAAGTTGGGGATGGACATTGATGAATCTAAGAATATGGGAAAAAGGGCGAATCTCCTATGGGCCAGGATAAAAGAAGGGAAGACTCTTGTCATTTTAGACGATGTCTTAGAAAGAATTAACTTTGAGGCTGTGGGACTTGTCGATGTGCCGCACTGTAAGTTATTGTTGACATCTAGAGAAAGAAATGTTTTATTCTATGATATGCATACGCAAAAAGATTTTCAACTTGGATTTTTAACCGAAAATGAAAGTTGGAATTTGTTTGAGAAGATGGCAGGTAATGTCGTTAAAGACAACCGTATACTGAAAGAAGCAACCCAACTAGCAAAGAAATGTGGAGGTTTGCCGGTTTTGGTTGTTGCTGTTGCAAGTGTTTTAAGGGAAAGTAGTTTGGAGGAATGGAAAGATGCGTTGAGAAGTTTCAAAAGATTTGACAGAAAGAATTGAATGAAAAAGCATTCTTGGCTCTAAAGTGGAGTTACGAACAATTGGAGGATCAAGAGCTTAAGCAATTGTTCTTGCTTTGCGGGAGTTGCAACAATTATCTCAGTGACTTGTTAAAGTATAGTATGGGTTTGGGTTTGATAAAGAATGTTGAGACTGTGGAAGAAGCACGGAATTCATTGAATGTAATGGTTAAAAAACTAAAAAATTTTGGCGTATTGCTGGACAGTTATGACGATAGGACTGTTAGAATGCATGACCTTGTACGAGATGTTGCTGTCCGGATTGCATCTGATGATCAAAAGGCCTTTTCAAGAGCATATGGAGATGAGGTGAAAGAATGGTCAACTGACAATTTCCTTAAAAAATGCACAAGGATGTCCTTAAGAGGTTGCAAGATCCCCAGGCTTCCTGGAGTACCTTGGGAATGCCCAGAATTAAAATTGTTAATCTTGTTCGAAAAGTATAAGGGCGACTCCCAGGAAATCCCAAGCAAATTTTTTGAAGGGATGAAAGAACTCAAAGTGTTGGATGTAACCGAATTCCATATTGCGTCACTACCTCCATCTCTTCAGTCCCTAAAGCATCTCCACACATTGTGTTTAGATCGGTGCGAGTTCGTAGACATCACTCTTGTTGGACAGCTAACTAACTTGAGAATTCTTAGCCTCGTAATGTCCAAGTTTAAAGAGTTGCCGAGAGAAATAGGGGAATTGACAAGGCTACAATTATTGGATTTGACCGGTTGCTCTGAACTTGTTCTGATCTCACCTGGTGTTATATCAAGCTTGACAAGACTAGAAGACTTGAGGATGGGAATAAAAAGCTTCAAGCAATGGGAGGGTGAAGGTTTGGTCGATGGCAGAAGAAGTAATGCTAGTGTTTCAGAGCTGAAGCACTTACCTCATCTATCCGCATTGGACATACACATTCCGGATGCTAACCTTCTTCCAACCAACTTGTTCTCCGATAAGTTAGAAAGATACACCATACTTGTCGGTGATTGTTGGGAGTATCCTAACATCTTTGCAACCTCATCTAACATGCTAAAACTCAAGCTCACCCGGAGAAATCAATTCGATCGAGGTATAAAGTTGCTGGTAAAGAAATGTGAGCAGTTGTACTTGGATGGGGTGGAGATTGTGAATATTATTTCCTATCTATTTGACAGTGAAGCTGTTAGACAACTGAAGCATCTCCATATCCAAAACAACGATGAAGTTAAATATGTCATTAACGTCATCAATTGGAGTTATTCTCATAATGCCTTCTCCAACCTGGAATCTCTAGCTCTTGAAAACCTTGTGAGTTTGGAAAGTGTATGTTATGGGCAACTCATAGGCGAGCCTTTCCCAAAGTTAAAATCTTTGACACTTCAGAATCTACCAAAGCTTATTGGTTTCTCTTCCAAAGGCAAGCAATTAACGACTGCTACAGAATCCGACGAAATCGTTACGGAGGATGAAGTTGGTGGACCACCGAGACTGTTCAATAATGGGGAGGTACTTTCTTAGTTATTTTTCTAGCAAAATGGTTGCATGATTCTTTCTCCAAATAGCTTTCTCATTCGAATTCGACATATAATTCTTTCTTCTTTTTTTTTTTCAATAAGAAAAAAGATACAAATGCTTAAGATTTATTTTTTTTCAATAAGCAAAAACCATTTAAATGATATATTATGTTATTAGGTTTTGATATTAAGATTTTTTTCCTAGTTATTCTCTTAACAAGTTCATATCTTTTGCACTCATTTATGCATAGCCTTGTGACTTTTTAAAAATTTTGATATCTATCCATTCACTCATCCAAACCTAATGGAGTTAACTCTAAATAAAATAAAATACAAAAATCAGAGTGTAGCCCAGCGGACTCGGCGCCTCTCCGTCTCTCCCATTCCCCTTCCTTAATAAGGAGTCTTTTATTATTTTGGTTTAACACATGGCAAGGAATGAATGGCTGTGTAGTACCATTCAGCATGATCAAGTTAAATCCCACACAAGTTTTTTTCTAATTTTGATGTTAGATTTTTTTCTTCCCTGGACATTCAAATAATGAGTTCAAATCTTCTACACCTATTTATAAACATAAACGCTTTGTGACCTTTTTAAATTAGAAAAACTAATAAAAATGGTTTGAAAACTTTGAGTTTTAATTATAAAGGCAAAATAAAGAGTAAAATAAATAATACCAGATTTGACTTTTTAGTGTAAAAATATAATTTTTCATTAAGATGAATAGTACCACAAGTTTTTCGTTAAAACTTTATTTTAAAATTTAAAAATATATCCATTCAATCAACAAAACCTAACGGCATTAACTCCAAATAAAATAAAAAAATAACAATCAGATCGTAGCCAGATACCTATCTCATTCGTGAGATTTTTCAGTGCAACCGGTATACGAGATGTACCACTTGTGTTTCCTCCCAACAAAAAATTTTCCCTCCCATTCCCCTTCATTCCTAACGCCACCAATCACGGCACCCTGACCCCCACCTCTTGGTGAGTCAGGGGAGACGCTTATATTCACAAATCTGACAGCCCAAAAGGGATTTATTCTTCAATATTCCCAGATTTGGTTGTCCGCTATTCTTTGAATGAGCAATTAAATTGAAGGGCGAGGGTTTTCGGTTTGATTAATGGATTTAAAGTGTGAAGTAGATGCAATTGATACTGCTGCTGTTTAGATTGGGGAAGAGAGAGAGAGAGAGAGAGAGAGAGAGAGAGAGGATGAGCAGCTTCTTTTTTCTTACTTTTGATTTTATTTTTATTTAATTTTACGGGGAGGAGAGGGTTATGCTAGGGATTAGTTTGTGGACAGGTGTTAACTAATGAAACATGTTATAGAGAAGTCACTCTTATTTTGAGTGCAAAAAATTTAAACTCAATCACTAAGATAATTCACCATTTGTCACTAAAAATATTCACAATAATGTGATCTTGGTATCAATTTAAATAAAATAATTTTTTATTTGATCGAAAGTAAATAGTTTAAATTTGGAATAAAATTGACATAACTTTGGCCCTATAAAATTGGCATAGTTTTTTTTACTCCAATTCATTATTTGCTAGTTAATGAAAGTACGAAGATATCCAGCTGTCTAGTAACCTAGTAGCTTACCTTTTTAATATATGATCTTTACTTTATATCTATGCATTTGGAACACATATGGCTAACAACATTGTAAATTATAATTTCCTAAAATAAACATGAATTTTGTTATGTGCTATGCAGGTTTTGATATCCAATTTAACAACCTTGATTGTGCATCAATGTGATAGTTTAAGATTCTTGTTTTCTAGTTCCATGGCTAAATGTCTCGGGCAACTCAAACATCTCACGATATCCAAATGTCAAGCATTACAAATGGTATATGACACATCATCTACCACTCATGTGAATGGTTTTGAGTGCCCAAATCTAAACTCAGTTGACATAGACTCATGTGATAGTTTGAAAAATGTTTTTCCCCCCTCAGTGGCCAAGGATCTTAAGCAGCTAAGCAGGTTGAAGGTTAAGAATTGTGATTTACTGGAGGAAATTGTTGTGAAGAAAGAAGGACCAGAAACGGCATATGAGGAGTTCGAGTTCCCTAAAGTAACATTTCTGGAATTTCATAATCTACCCCAACTTGGGAGTTTCTATCCAGGACTGCATATTTCTAATTGGCCGTCACTCAACATCTTAAAGTTCACGAAATGTGGTGATGTGGAGATTTTACCCGTCGAATTTTTAACATATCAAGACAAGCTTGAGTTGGGCCACCCAAGGTCAACGAAACAACCTTTCTTTTTAATTGAGAAGGTAATCATACTTGTCCACAATTCTTTTGATATTCAAAATTTTATGTGATTTTTACATACTAATTAAACATAGACCATCAAGTAAATACATTTATTATGTTTTTAATGTTAAAGTTATTATGTGATGTTCAATTTTTCAAAATATTTTAAAGCATGTCATTACTGTTGATTATATTTCAGGATAAGCCGCTCCTCAACTTGGAATACTTGGTTTTGGACGAGAACACGGATATTTTGTATGGTCCACTCCTGGCAGAGTTGCTGAGAAAACTAAAAGTAATTGGTTTTGCTACTTCACATCCCAAGTCAGATGATTTCTTTGAGAATTTACAGAATATTGAAAATCTCCGTGTGTTCTCTGCTCCTTGGAAAGAATTAATTGTCCACAACCACCAAGGAAGTAGTAGCGGGGAAATACATGAAGTTAAGACCCTCCCACGTGTAAAGGGTTTGTGGCTCGGCAATATGCCGGAGCTGATACATCTAGGAAAGGAGAACTCCCAACCAGGGGACCCTGTTTTTCCAAACTTGGAATTTCTATGCCTAGAAAAATGTGGCAGATTAGAGAATCTAGCTTCAACTTTGATATCCTTTCGGAATATAACCGCTTTGACCATATGGAGCTGTCACGGACTGCAATACTTAATACCTTATTCTGTGGCTAAAGATTTGCGGCAACTCCGGGAGTTGGATGTTCGGTATTGTGAAAGAATGGTAGAAATAGTGGCAAGCAACGGAGATGATTCAGAAAATGAGATTACATACAGTTGCTTGAAACATTTGCAACTTTCTGGTCTACCAAGTCTGCAAGGATTTTGCACGGGAAATTGCATTTTCAAAGTCCCATCCTTACTGTCCAAGGATTTGATTGTCAAGAAGTGCCAGCTGATCCAGTTAAAGATTTCTCCTGATGGGTTACTCCAAAGTGATCCAAGACCAGAAAGACTACAAATAGCAGAGGAAACTGATGATGTACTAAAGCTAAGTGATTCAAAGGAGAATGATCGTGATCAAACCGTAAGTTCTTTATTCACTAATTAAGCATCTACTAATTTCACTCTCCAATTTTTCATCTTTTTCTGAACCTTGAACCGTTAAAATTAAAAGTTTGATTTATTCATCTTATTCGTAGTTCTTCAGTCAGATTTCTTATTGAACAGTTTGAGTGTTTATTTGTAGTCGTCAACTAAATATATATTTTTACAGGACCAGCTGATGATTGCAGATACAAATTTAGATGTTAAAATTGCAACACCCTCTACCAAAGAAGAATCCTCATTTTTTGGCTGGCATGTTAAGTTTTTCCGGGTGTGTGTGATTGCTTGTTTGTGTGTTGTATTCTTCTTTCTTTTGTTTTTCCCTTTAAAGGAAGAAATATCATCCTGGGGAGCAGACTGGAAGGCTCTCTGATCTATTGGACCACACAACACATTCCCCAGAAAACACATTGGTATGACCAAATTTTTTGGATAGAGAGAACTATGCTACTTGATGTCGTGCTATGACTGTTGGTCATAGTTCCAAGAACAAGATGGGCACCACTCTTATTGTCAGTGACCGCCTATTGGATTTAAGCTGCCTAAGCTTCCGCCTCAACGAAGAAGCCTTGGTTATGTGATTTCTGTCGGCTAGAGGCCAGTTCTAGCCTTGGTTATATGATTGCTTGGACCTTTTTGGCCTTGGCGTTACTGTGGTGGTTGAATCAGGGGCATTGGAGATCCTGAAGATGCAGGCTATGTTGCCTTTAGCGTTATTGCGGTTGCTAGTTGGGTTGCTACTTTCAGTATTCTTCTTTCTAATTTCTCTTGTTGCTGTGACTATTCTCTGTTCACCCCTCAACGGTCTGTGCCCAGCTTCGTATCCGAGGCCGATCTCATCTTGTTTGATATAAGCCTGCAAGCTACGGCATCAACTGAAAAGGTATCCCAGAAACTTGTGTGATTTGGGTAGGCACTGATACATATTCCAAGTCATGTTATGCTTGTGTTGACTTGTTCGTGTTTAGTGGTAAAAGTGTGATTTGTATTTGGAGCTTAGCTTTGTTCACTACATTTTCGGTATTGGTTGTTTGGGAAATAATGCTAGTGTGATTTCTGTAAACATTGAAGCATTTGAAGTGGTGCTTGTATGCACTTGTCTACCGAAACTACTTTGTACTAGAGAGTGCTTATTCTTTATTAAAATCGGATCAATAGAATCGCATCTTTTAACTGGATGTGTGTACGTACGTGTGTATATTTTTCTTTTTCGTTCGGAAAGAAAGCTAGATTTCATTGGTTGGAGTACAATTTTTTCAGAGAGCTCCTAAAATGATTTTTTTGTATAGTTTTAGCTAAAACTTCGCTACAAAATAGAGAGCACTGGTAAATATGCCCGCGCGTTGTTGCGGGACTTTAATGCACCAACCTTAACTACATTAGTACTATATAAATGAAAACACAATTGAAACCCATCAAACAAAACAATCCCACAATTTAAATGATTCAATCCTACTACAATTGAAATTCAGGGAAAGAATGAAAAACCAAAACAAAACTGCAGCACCTAAAAAGTTGTCATACAAAAAGACATGTCAAGAAATCTAGTTCGTTAATTTCCAACTGCTAAGTGGCATTATGTAACTCTAGTAGTATAACTAATTAACTACTTATCTGGTGGGTTGCACTTTTATTCCAATTGGTAAGGAAATGAAAACAAAAATCAACCCCTTGGTCTTAGTTGTGGCTGCAAAGTGCAAGCCACCACCAAGTCTCAAAGTTTGTGTTTTAGCAGAACACTTAAAATAAATTAAATTCTGAAATGTAAATTATATTCCTATAACTTCAAGATGCACATATAGTATTGTTGAAGTCGAACTGAAAGCACTGATAATTCCAAGCAACAGAGCAGCAATTATTAAGAGCCAAAACTCATTCCTAGTCTCCTCATCCTGGTACTCAACTCCGTAAATCTTCGGTCAGCATCGTTGACTGAAATTAGGAGAGAAAAAGAAAAGGAATTTCAGAAATTGTCTATGAAGCAAAGGATATTGCAAAGGATATGTAAATGATCAATATGGTGTATGTGAATGTGAATGGTAGCTCTCTTAAATTGTAAGAAATGCCAATATATCATGTATAAGTGCCCTTTATAAATTGACATCGTTAGAGATTTTTTGTGCAAGAGAGCTATTGTATAAGTGCCCCATATAAATGTGATTATGCAAAAGATATGTTGGCATTTCTTACAGTGAACTTATCTAATATGGCATGTATTACATTTCGAGGTCCTCATTAACACTTGAAAAATCTTGGACACATAAAGCTGAAAAATGCAAATAAGTAAATTGCTTTGAAAAATATATTAGGATGATATTACCTTACCAATCACAACTTATTTGCATCTTGCCAAATCTCTCGGACTCGGATTTAAAAAATTTCGACATTGTATTGCCAGGAGGACCCAATTGGCCTGATTAAAAAGCACTCCTTTCCCAAAACCTTTGAACTGTTCAGAGTCCATATTCCAGAAAACAAATGTTAATCAATAACCAATTAATACTGGGTAATCATTGAAATTGAAGTCCAGAATTCACTAATGTCAAATTTACAGCCAAATGAGCAATCAATTGACTTAACTTTAAGGAAAAATGTGCACAGAAAAGTATCTAATTTCACAAAATAAATGAAACCATATCAAATGTCATGATATAAACTCAGAACTCGAAAGTTTAAGCAAAACCCACTCTCAACAATGTTGTAAAAAATAAAAAAAAGCCTTTTCATTCATAATTTGAAGTAATCCAAAATTGCAAGCAATAAAACGCTCCAATAAAAAAAGCTCTGCAAGGTCATGAAATTGCCCATGAATATCGCCGCAAATTGTCACTGGCATTTTCACAGGCATGCAAATAAATAATAATAAGTGTCTACCCATACAATTTGAAAGATCTACACCAGCGTCACCAATTCAAAATGAAAGACAATAATGACGCTTTTTTCCCATACCAAATGCAATAACAGTGAAATATGTAATGTAACACATATAATAAATGCCTTATCTTAGAGTGGCAATACAACCGCCTTATCTATAGTCAATGGCTAAAATATTTATAGGATCCAATCCATTTTTAAAATAAATGAGAAGCATGTTATAAGACAATTTGGTTCTTCACCTAATCAGCTCAAAGTTCCCTCACCAAAATAAATTCTTCGAATGAAGTAACCCCTCTTTTTATGCCATCTATAACTAATTTCATGTCATTCAGAGAACGACCTATTTACCATTTCCCGCAAGATACAAATTAGATCTTGTAGTAAATTTAGACGAAGTAAGGCATTTGATTTAAAATCACAATAAACAGAACCTGAATTACATCACTACAAACACAAATAAAATAAAATGAAATATTTTCCCATTTGGTGGCTCAGAAAACCAAAAAAAGTATATAACTTTTTTTCCTTAAGAAAATACACAAAAAAATTCCACTAGAAATTGCAATTCCCACAAATCCAACAACAAATCAACAAACCCCATGACCCCATTTTCTTTCCCACATTTTCCAGACAACCAAACAGACCCTAACCCAACCAAATTCTGAAATCACTCAACAATGGGCGGAGAACGCATTTATATAAGATGAAATTAGAATTTGGGTTGGAGAGAGTTACCGGCAGTGTCCCATAAGCCTAAGTTTGCAGTTGTGCCTTCAACCACCACAATTGCACTGAAGTTATCAAACACAGTTGCACAGTGGTTATCCAACACGGTTGGAGAGAGTTACCGGCATAGTCCTGATGAACACAAAAACAATTGAAAAACAAAATCAAATTACTTGGAAAGGGAAAGGGGAAAAAGCAAAGCAATTTGTCTAGAGAGAAGAAAGAGAGAGAGAGAGGGAGATTTGCAAATTAAAATCTTGAAAACAACAGAAAAAAGCCACAAAACTAGATGCATAAATACATAAAGTAATTCAAAAAACCAAAAAGTCACAAATTAGTCAAATGTGAGAAACCCAGAAGGATCTTCTTGGCAGAAAATAAATAAAAAAATAAATTGTAGTAAAGGTTTTTCAACTTTAATCAAATTGGAGCAATGGTTTAAAAATCCATGACTATTGGTCCCTCAACTGATCAAAATGTATAGCCATGATTCTTTTCGTCAACTTCATTAGAATTTTGTCAAAATAAGTTATGTTGAAAATAGCATAATTGGGGTCCATCAACTAATAAAAACGTGTAGCTATGGTCTTTTTCATCAACTTTATTAAAATTTGTCAAAATGAGTTATGTTGAAAGGATCATTGCTACAATTGGGTTAAAGTTTGAGGGACCATTGCTCCAATTGAGTTAAAGTTGAGGGACCGTTTCTCCAGTTAGAACAAAGTTGAGGAAACATAGCTGCACGTTTTGATAAGTTCAGAAACCAAAGATAATGAATTTTTAATTAAGAGATCATTGCTCCAATTAAGTGAAAGTTAATGAACTATTACTATAATTTACTCTAAATAAAAATCGTGAGAAGAATGAGCAAACATGGATCCTAGAAGGTTGTGAAATTGCCCATGAATATTGGTTGTAAGAATATGCAAATAAATAATAATAACTGTATGCCCAAATAATTTGAAAGATCCACACCAGCGTTACCAATTCAAATGAAGGACAGTAATAACGCTTTCCCATACAAAATGAAATAACAGTGAAATATGTACTGTAATACAAATATAATAAGAGACTAAAGAAACCAAAATCTTCACCTGAACATTTCTTTCTCCCATTAGAATTTCCTTTGCTTACTCGCATAACATTCTCACCTACAACAAAGCAATGAATAACCGATCATGTGCAGATAGACGGTTCACTTGTGCATAACTGTTTTGTATTGCAAGTATGCTTTTTATTCGAGCTCTCTATGACAATTTATTGTACTGCTACCTTGATTCAGGAACTAATTAAGATTGCTTTCAGCTGGTTTGGAACTTTGATCTGCCAAGTCTGCAAGGCTTTTGGTCAAACCATCTTCAATGATTGGGCTAAAAGCCAAATTTTTTAGTCCGGAAAATTTAGCTTTTAGCCCAGAAATAGTTTTTTTGCTCCAACCGTTCTAGCCTAAAATTTTAGCCCGAGATTATTAAAGAATGAACTTAGGCTATTTTTTTTGTTAAATTAAATTCTTTTAAAAAAATTAAATATGGAGGCTATCGTAAATTGATTTTATGAACATTTTAATCTAAAAAACTTTAAATTCTGATAAATATTGAGTGAAGTCCACTTTGATTTATGGGCTAAATTTTGGGGGGAATTTAGCATTGGTTTAGCATTTAGCATTTAGCCCAAAATTTCTCTTTAGGTTGAAGTGGATTTGGGGGGAAATTTTGAGGGGTAATTTGGCTTTTAGCCCACCATTAGAGTTGGTTTCAGTGGTTTATACGTTCCTATGAGATTGACTCAATGGAGAAATTTGAGACTCTCGTACCATATTATATTTTTGATGAAAAGCTGATTTATACCTTCCTTTATCTTTCTGTATGCTTTCATTTGCAACTAATGCGTCCCACTTCTATGAAATAAGGTTTGTTGACAAGTTCTTTAAAAAATATATATGCAGGTAGGATTTCCTAGCTTGGACAAATTTTTTATGCATCTATTACACGAACTCCATAGACGGAGGTTATGGACACGGGAGAAAGTCACCGTATCCCGTATCTGACATGCTGAGGATACAGATACAGGAAAGATACGCATGGATACGCGCCCGATACGTATCAGAGTGAAGGGATACGTTTAGGCCTGATGAGATACGCGTATCGTATTGTCCAGATACAAGTATCCTACTTTTCGGATACGTTTGAAACTAAAATAGGAGGATAATCAGAAAATAATAATAATAATAATAATAATCACAATAAATCCGCACAGAATCATGATTCATCGAACTTAGTTAACTAATATCACTCTAAAATCGAAGGATAATCAAAAGTTAAAAAAAAAAAAAATTCGGATTTACATTTCGAACCTCATAAATCACTCTGCTTGGGAGACTTTCACAAATCACCATTGACCGTCATCTGCAACTGTTCCGTCGTCTTCGTATGTAACTGCGCCGTTGTCTCCATCTTCTCCGTCTACAACTGCTCCATCATCTCCTTCGTCTCTGTCTGCAACTCCTGATGAGTGGTGAGCTTTCGTTTTCACTTTGTTAATAGTTTCAAATCCGATGTTTTCCTAATCTTACTCCTCTGATTCAATCCATTCGAAGCCTTAATTTGATTCCCCGAGGACAAGTTACAAAACACATCTCTGAAACTGAAACTAAAAGCTTAGGCCTGGTTTGGTACTGAGGTGATTTTGAAAAAACTAGTATAAAAAAAAGTTGGGAGCTGTTTTTGTGTTTGGTAAACATTCGGCTTCAGCTTTTTTTCACAGTGTTGGGTGAAAAAAAGCCAAAAACAAGAAGCTGCAAAACTCAGCTTTGAAAAACCGGCTTTTTCTCACATCTGTTTTACATAAAAATTTACCAAACACTATAATACTGCTTTTTTTCAAAAGCACTTTTACAAAAAATTTTACCAAATACTCTGTTGCTTTATTTCACAGCTGCTTATTCTCACAGTGTCGCATCCCGACCCCGGGGGGACCACTTCCCGGGCCCGCTCCACTACCGTAGCACGATATTGTCCGCTTTGGGCTTACCATTCCCTCACGGTTTTGTTTTTGGGAACTCACGAGCAACTTCCCAGTGGATCACCCATCATGGGATTGCTCAAGCCCCCTTCTCGCTTAACTTCGGAGTTCCTACGGAACCCGAAGCCAGTGAGCTCCCAAAAGGCCTCGTGCTAGGTAGGGATGGGAATATACATTTAAGGATCACTCCCCTGGGCGATGTGGGATGTCACACACAGCACAGCAGAAACAGCTTTTTTTAAAAGCATAGCAATACTAAACCAGCCCTTAATCTGATTAAAAAGCCTTTTGCTTTTCTAAAAGTTGAAACTAATATTATTATATCCATACCACTACCCACAATAATATATTATAATACCCATTCCACTACCCCCATAGTCCATTCAAATCTGATGAAGCCTTTTGCTTTTCTGTTTTTAACTTTTTGTATTATTATAATATTATTGTGTTTTGTATATTATAATATATTATTGTGCAGTGGTATGGATATATTTATTTATTTTTATTGATACATATTTTTAATTGCCGTATCCTTGATGTATTGTGTCCTCGTTTTTAGAAATTTGACGTATCTCCGCATCGTGTCTTGTCGTATCCCCTTATCTGTGTCCATATCCATGAATCATTGTGATTTGCTAACATATACTTAGAAGACTAAGCAATAAAAAGCAATAAAACAAAGATCGACTTCAAAATTTTGAAAATGTTCCGTTAGAGCATATCTAATCCCGCTCTCTGTTTTTATGTCAATTTTAACTAAAAAAATCGTTTTAGAAGCTCTTTATAAAAATTGTACTTCAACCATGCTTCTGTTAAAATCCCACATCGGTGGTAGGAAAAAAAACCAAGGGGTTTAAATTGATTACCCCACTCTAACTAATACCGAAATTTTTTGTGGTAAAGTCTCACACCTTACAGATTTGGTATGTGGTAAAGTTGGAGACAATATCAATATCGTTAGAATGAGGCAGGCCCGGCAATCTAATAATCCAACAGCTTCTGATGTAGGGATTCATAATGATAAGGAGCCAATACGAATAGAACTTCTACACCAACCATGCCTTCTAGGAGCAAGATAGGTAGCATGGTTGGAGTTCGATTTTTCTCTTTTCCGCCAATTGTAATGAGCTGATCACCTAAGGAGTCCATTGGAGGTGCAGTATCTTTAAATAAGTGAGTTGCTAATATTTCAGGGTTCATTTCACAAATTTGAAAACTTAAGATGAGAATGGCGGAGGAAACAGAGATCTGGGATGAAAAGTATGGTCCACTGCCAGCAGATTTATTTGGTTCTATCAGTTGTTTTCCTTCAGAAATTATACAGTCTTGTAAAGGTCTATGTACTTTCTA